CCTTGAGTTACATTAGCTAACTTCCAATCCTCTGGTACCTGCCAACTATTCAAGGACTGACAAAAAATAGTAGTAAGTGGCTCACACATCCAAACCTTAACCTCCTTCAAAAACTTTGGGGAAATGTTATCTGGCCCAGGAGCCTTATTGTTTTTAAACTTCCCAATTATTTCTTAACCAGCTCAGAATTAATGCAGTCTTCTTGTTTTATCTCATTTCCATTTATCAACTGTTCAAGATGTGGAAAACCGCTTAAATCTTCATTAGTAAAAAACCAAAGAAAAAGAAATATTTAATAACCCAGCAATCTCATAATCATCAGATACTAGCCTTCCTTTATCATCCCTCAAAGGTCCTTTCTCCCATCCAACATTTTGTTTACCTTTAATGTATTTAAAGAAATCCTTACTGTTAATGTTTACATTTTCAGCCAACCTTTTCTCATAAATCTTTTTGGATGTCCTAATTTCCTGTAATCACCAAATTTTGTGATCTTCTAAATCTCCTGTCATACCAGTCAATTTAAATTTCTTAAATTTATTATACCTTTTTTTAATTTTGTCTCTTAAACTCTTTGTGAGCCAACCTGTTTTTTACTTGCAGCTACCCTTTTCTTTCTATAAAGAATATGTTTACCTTGAATATTTAAACATTTATCTTTAAATAGTTTTCCACATCTGATCAGTGTCTCCATATAATTCAGCTGCCCAATTCACAACAGATAATTATTGTCACATCCCTTCAAAATTTGTAACCAAAATATCATTATTCCTTATCTACATATGCAGCAAGACATCAAACCTAACAGAGCAATGATCACTTCCACCCAGATGTTTCTCAATTTCCAACCTTTTGATCATTTCTATATTTGAAGTTAACAATAAGTCTAAAATAGCATTGTTTCTAGTAGGTTCCTTGATTAATTGATGAAGAAAGCCATCCTGAACAGTTTTCAAAAACATTTCTCCCACATGGTTTGACTCTAGAATTTCCCAATCTATATGCCTGAAATTAAAATCACCCATAATTATGACTTCATTAACAGCTGAAATCATGATCTCATTGTAAACTTTCAAAAACAGCATTTCATCTTGGCTTAATTACAGCATGACCTGATTTTGGAATCATAAAATCAGGAAACATTCATATGTTCAGATATTAAAACCAGAATCCCGTTTTCAACAAAAAATATGTAAATAATAAATATCATCAAGTGAAAAGGAAATTTTCACTTGCATTATTGCTGACATATTCTCTCTGAAAGTGAATTTTTTTCAAGCTACTTTATATTGGCCAGGATTTTGTCATAAGTGTCAAGCAACTGTCCTTTACGATCATCCTTGAGTTACCTTATACAAATGTTTAACAACTTGAAAATCATATATCATCTGTGAGCAGTAACTGCAATTTGCATTTAACTATCTCTGTCATTCAGAGGAAAGCAGCTAAAGCTATGCCATGTCATTCTAACCAGTGTGATATTTTCCCTCAGTTAAGAAATTATATATCTGGTGATTCGTGTGTTGTTAAAACCAGAGATTCACTACTGAAATATCCTAGTTACCAAATTCATCTTTATCTTAATGAGCAAATTGAGTTTTTATAATTATCAAATGTGACTACATTTTACCTATGTAAACCATCTCCATTGAAATAAAACTGTTACTTAAACATTAGTCATCTATTTGGTTATTTAAATTCTTTTCGCTTTATATGTTATGCACTTTCATACAAAAATTTATTTTAATTTTTAATATAAATACATTAACACTTATTACAATAACATCAGTTACATCACATTTTATTTTAAGAGACTTGGACAGTAACAATGATATACTATTGCTTCAATACTTGTATCAGTATTACATTTTTACAATATTACACACTTGTTAAACACTAAAATAACACTAACAGGAACACTATATTTTGTTAATTATGTACTATAGTATAAATATATTGTATACATTTTAACAGAATAACTTTTAGTTTTACTTTTTTATTTCTAAATACACAACTTGTCAACTGGTCAACTTGATATACACAATTATCTTTCCTAAAGTTGTATTTTATCGGAAGTAATTCTATATAGTATTATTTTCTACCTAACAACGTATAATTAATCACCAGAAACCTGCTATTTCAACTTCTGCAGCCAATAGCTACTTGCGTTGTTAGGCGCGTCCTCTAAAGTAACGGTTTGAAAGATCACATGGGCAATAATAATAATATCAAATATTTAGATATTTACAAAGATCAAATACTTTTAATAAAATACACTAATTTGAAGCTTGAATAATTGTTCGAGAAAAACGAAACATTTTTTTAATATAATTCAAATTATCGAAGTAAACATTCTGTAAGTAACTGGTGATTTTCATAATAAAGCATCGAAAATAAGTATTATATTTAGTGACTATACTAAACCGTCAATCCTATATTACCTATATGAATTATCGCTCTCGTTATACACTACCAAAGGATTAGCATAAGTTTACCACCTTTCTACATGTTGGTTACATGGATACCAACTAAATACCTACTAAACTAACAAATAATAACCTGAGTATACCTAAATAAAGATATATTCTTTACTATGGACAGGACCGCCGACTGGGGAGGTGGCAAAGAATGCATGTCTATAGAGGCCTGGGTGGATTGGAAAGATACGTGTTGTTATTGCTTTTAATAAAATTTACAAAAACAATTAAATACACGATTCTCATTGTTATTTATAAGATGAAATACGTGTCATAATAGTCAGCAGTCCTGTTACAGGAGCCATTCACTGTTCTGCTCTGTGGCCGAAATTGCTGTAGGCGGACTTGGTTATGAAGGGTATACCGCAGTCTTTCTGCCATCACAAGTTGCAACATTCCTCTTTAAAATTGCCATTACATTCTGTCAAACATAATGATTTTGACACTAAAAACAAATTAATCCCAAACTGACGGATATGGAATTACCCTGGATAACAGTTAGAAGATGAAAAATTTTCATACTGCTATACAGAAGTAGTAGTTGTTTTCCCTGACTGAATTTTCACAGCTTTAATTAACTAAATACCGTACAATATTTCACTGAGAAATTTCACAGAGAGAGAGAGCAATGTTAATGCACATGGACTGGACCTGTGCATCTGACGGTTCACAGTTTGCGTCTCGTTACTCATAAACATTATCCGTACTTTGGAGCCATAAGTGCGTTATAAAACTAACGGTTAAGTCACACTATTCGGTTAGACAATAGTAGTGCAAGAGTTGGCAGCAAGTGCTATGACTAGCATTTTCCACCTAATCTATCAGTTCAATATTATGAACGACTATATACAAAGAGCGCTTTTGTAACTCTGCTTGAATATTCTGAAACAAGCAAATAATTTAACTGGCATTACGTCTTAATAAGAGGAAACTGGTTCATATTCTGAGCTTAAGTTATAATTGTTAATATTATCTACAATTGTGCCTAACTAGTACCTTTTTTAATGACTAATCATTGAAAGAATGTTGATAGTCTGACAAAAAAAAGTTCTAAACTTAGGTTTTCCTCAGCCCATTTTCCAAGATTTTTATTTTGTTCTAGTATATTTTCTTTAACAGTGATCAGTAGAGCAATACGTTTAGAGGTGTTATCACATACATAAACATAAAGGGATAAAATTAAACAATGTTTGAATCAATTAATTGTTCTACAGATGTTTCACATGCAATTCATAAAAATAAATAAGTGAAAATCACCATAATGATAAAAGTCCTAATGTGGGGTATAACTGGAAACTAAAGTTAGACTAAGAGCTCTAACAATTCAACTGTTGGCAAATTAGTTAATTCTCCAGAAAAACATAAGACTACGAATTCCTTAATCAATTTTCCAATAATCAGGAATGTTGATTTTATTCGTCATAAATAATTTATCTAGAATAATTTTCTTTTTTGGATATGGCCACATGATTAAAAAGTGCTCTGAAAGTCACCTTCTACTAATTTACTTACAAAAAAAAAAGAAAGAAAGAAAATGAAATGCAAGAAAATGCTACATAAACTATAGTCAGTGAACAATTAATTTAGTTATCTAACCTTTGGAAATATATTGATTCTGAAATGCACACTTTAGAAGAGTACGAGTATCAAAACCCGGTTTTATGGGTGTGACTTACTGTTGAGCCAATGTGGTGGTCGTGGGTATCGTTTTATAGACAACAATACTAGATTTTTAATTTTACAAGCTTGCGTTATGCAATTGTATAAATAACACCCACTTAATTTCTGAATCCGGATTGAGTAATGTATTGCACGGGACTTACGCTCATAAAGTTTTTATTTGTCTTGGAGTAAAACTTCACACCTAAATGCTGCTTTACTTTTTTTTAAATAATAAACTCGCAGATCTCGAAATACATAAAACCTAATTTGCAATATTTTTATATTATTTATCGTCCATTACCATGTAGGTTTATCATTCTATCATAAAAAAGGTGTTCTCAATTCACTAAAAATTATAATTTTGAGCATAATTAAAAACGAGTCTCAATTACTAAATAATCTTAATCTGAAGTAAACAAGTTATCTTAGTCGTTAGTTCTTGTATAAATAACGCTTGAAAATGTTCATATATACATATTGAAAACAAGCAGATTGCTGTTATGTCATTCAAAAGTGGTTCCATCCTGTTTATGCATGATTATATGAAAGATTTTGTTTCAACTTTGTTAGTGGTACAACGTATGACAGTTTTAGTTAGACAGTGTTCTTAATGACATTTACAGATAAAATTATTAAAAACTGATATATCAACGTCCCCAAAATTACCCTAATCATGAAAGATATAATCCCAATATATATGTGTGTGATCCATTAATGTCTATAAATTCAAAATTATATATATATATAAACATATTAATAAACGTAAAATGTCTTTTGTGATCCAAAGTAGAGAACGGGAGCCCGAAACATGAAATGCCAGAGTAGCGTGGGGAGGAAGGCAGACAGTATAGAAACCGCAGAATAGTACGAACTATAACAACGCCTATAGCTTGCGCGAATGTGAAACGGCTGCTCACTAGCGGGCCAACGTTCCTAGATCTACAGTTCAAGTGATAGCAGTGGAAGGAACTGGAAAATATGGCCAATTTGATGCAGGGGAAACGCTTCGAATTAGTTGTTTGAAGTTTTTTTTGGCGGCGTCTGCATTTTAATTCACAACCTAAAAAGCCTTGTGAACGTTGATGTATTTGCCTTTGTATTAAAAGCATCCACTGGTTGATGCAAGCTTGACCTCTATTCATTTAGTGACAGGGCTAGGCCAGAGGAACGTTTGAACAAAGAACGCTGCTTCGAGTTAGACAGAAGAGCCGTCTGCATAAGCCATAACGAACCGAAGTGACTCAGAAACACATGCTAAGTTCTAGTAATACGAGATAACCGAACAGAATTTTCATTTTCCATTGAAGTATACATACAGCTAGAATGGGATGTAATGTTAGTAAAGACGTACAAGTGGAGGAGCAGCAGGAAAAGACTGAAGACGGCCAAGTTCAGGAAGGAAAGAAACAAGGTATGTACGTAAATGTCGATTTTTGTTGAATTGCTTGAAATGAATGTGAATGTGTACGCTGTGAAACTGAACTTTTTTTTCATGTATGTAAAATGTAAAAAATAAAAGGTTGTAACTTGAGTAATACTAGAAATAGTCACAGAGAAATTAATTCTCTTTTCTACATGTACTGTAATAATTGATTGTAATTGTATGGACTTAATAATAGTATGCACATACACACATTAATGTACCCCGAATTCTGAAACGAAAAAACGTTTCACCGCGCCTCTGTACATTTAAGGGAAGATATAAAAATATACAATTAACACGTAAACACTTAAACAAAAATATGAAAAATATAAATCGTTCGAATTTTAATTTTTTATCACTTAGATCACTGCGAATAAAATATGTTCCTGAATGTCACTAGGATAAAAAAATTGTAAATCCTAATATTTTTTGTGTATTCTATTAATGTTAAATATATGTATAATGCACATCTATTATGGTTCCTAAAAGAGTTATCACGTATTTCTGAAATTTAAACGGACAATAAAAAGCACTAGATTTATTATTCATACTTATTATAACCAAATGTGGCATACTCGCATTTTCTTACAGCTGAATAATTGTGTTTTAATTAATCAATTCTTAGAACATTGATCTGCTATTTGTTATCACATTAATTATCACATTTAAACACAATTAAATTAATCAAATCGATACTTTAGAACTTGATATATTTTTCATATTTAAATTACGATTCCGAAATGTTGTAGTTCATTACACCAAAAAATCGTAATGTTTCATTATTTCACTGATTTCTGTAGATTCATTGAAAATATTCAATCTAACAAGTAATTAGTATTTTTAGATCAACTACGTGATTCATAAACTTCTTACAATTGTTTACGCATAAACACTGTAATACACACTTTCTACAGCAACTAAACTCTTTTTATCATACTCAACTCTGCTGTGGCTGTCTTATACACAAGTATTAAATTGTCTCCATATTTTAATAATTTGTTGCATTCCTAGTTGCACTTATATGATTACAACAAACTTCGAGTACTTTTATCAGGCTTATTGTCTGTTTGAATACTGTGCTGTCTATAAGGAAAAATTGTATTCAAAATATGTGAAATATTCTTTAATTTTTATTATTGCCTCCAGTGGCACAGCGGTATGTCTGCGAACTTACAACACTAGAAATCGGGTTTCACTACTCGTGGTGGGCAGAGTACAGATAGCCCATTGTGTAGCTTTGTGCTTAACTCCAAACAAATTTTTGTATCGTTACGGAAGCATGCCTCCATATATGAAATAACATGGTATTTTATCAAAAATTGTAATACATTTAACGCCATTTACAATGATACAACCATATTACCTTACGAACTTTGACGAATTAGACGAAGAAACTTTTCCATATTATCGTTGTCGTTGTTTTTCTATTTTATTTTTGCAAAAATAATCAGTAGGTAGCACTATTCTTCTCTCCACAAGGCTGATAAAAGTTGATGTAATGGTTGCAGTTGTATCCAATGGTAACATATATATATCCCAGCCTATATATATATATATATATATTCAATCAGTTTTAATACAATCAAAACAACCTTGTATTTATTTAAGAGTAGAAAAAATATCCAATGGGATTGTCTTCTCTCTAATGGATGTTAAATAAGAGTAATATGAATGTTTAGCATATATATATATAGGTGATAGTAGCCCAATGAGCAAAAGGAATATATTGCGAGTCTTCATCAATTAATGGAGAGATAATAAAACCTATTTATTTGTAATTTGTTTAATTTCCTTTTTACGAGAATAATAAGAATCTAATTACTCAGATTATATAGTATCTTTATTTTGCATATACTCTTACTACACACATATATATATATATATATATATATATATATATACATATACATATCTACACGGATCACACAAAAAATACGAGTTTATATGATTTTGAATAAATGCCTTTTTGAAATAAAAGTGATAGGCCATTTTTAAATAGATTTTCAACCTCAACTGAAATACTTAAGATATTTCAAATTATGACAATATGTGTATTAACTTTGTAGAATCAGAGACGTTGATTTTCAACATTATTCCACTAAATAATTGTATAGAGAACAAAAGGGATGCGATACTTTTATATCATTCTGATAAACATAATTAATAAGTTGTATCATGATCCAGTAAGTTTTATAGTGCTAATGATAACTAATACTTATTACAGGAGCGTCAGAAGACAGTGGACGTTTCTAACATTTTATAATATTTTGTGGTCGTTCAAACACCCCCTGAATACGCCCCTGCTATCTCATTATCGGATAATTATTACGATTTAGTACAACCAAAACTTCGCTTTAGTAATTTTTAGTTAATCCAATTTTCATTCCTAGTTAATTATCTAAATTAAAATCATGAGAAATGCTGATCTTCTCCACGAGCTTCTTAAATAACTAGTTTGTATTTCTAGGGGTGGTATAACTGGTATCCCATTAAGCGTTTTCTATAACTATTTTGCATTTCTAGGGGTGGTATAACTGGTATTCTACTAAGCGTTTTCTATAACTATTTTGCATTTCTATGGGTGGTATAACTGGTATCCTACTAAGCGTTTTCTATAACTATTTTGTAGTTCTATGGGTGGTATAACTGGTATCCTACTAAGCGTTTTCTATAACTATTTTGCATTTGTAGGGGTGGTATAACTGGTATCCTACTAAGAGTTTTCTGTGACTATCTTGCACTTCTAGGGGTGGTATAAATGGTATCCTACTAATCGTTTTTTACATAAATCTGTGTTTTCGGAGACTATGTGTTTTTGAAAATGAGAGTTAGAAGTGTGATTAAAATAATGATTTTTTTGGCTAAAATGCACATGCCTGTCACTCACTTGCCACAAGTTTTCATCTTTATTTGTTAGCCCACGATTATCGAAAAATGACTTGTTAGCTATCCAGAAAGAAAAAGTTAAATGTCAGGCTAATAAAATACTTTTATTTAAGAAGCTATTATCTGATTACTGAATTAGTTTTAACTGCTTTCATGAACTTTGTTTTCTTCTACTTTTATGTAGTTGTGCACTAACCTTGTCGCTTCAGATTTGGAGCAGTTTTCGAAAGTTTACAGGAAAACATAATTGGACATATCAGAGTTCTTTGCACAAACTCACAAAATAAGTAATCACAAGCTCTCGGGTGGCTCAACAGAAGTCTGAGGGGTTTATAATGATAATGCTAAAAAGAGTGTAGAACAATCTTAACACGGTTTGTATCATTATGTCCAGAGTGATTATCTTGTTTTTAATTTAAAGAGTGTTAAATAAGAGTAATATGAATATCTAATATCTATACATGATAGTAGCCCCAGTCATATAAGTTCATTTTTGTCATAAAATACATTGTTGTTACTACTAAAATATTATTAGATACTGCTAATAATAACATATAAACAAACATTAATCACATACATACCTGCAGTTTTTATAGTGGAGAAAGAAAAAACAGATATTAAATACTATTTTCATTCAAGTATCTAAAGATGCAGCATAGTTACCACGAGGAATAAATCAGGTATCTTTGAAGCACTTAAATTTTATAAAGTACCTAGAAACATATATGTATATAATTTTTATTACGAGTTGAACATGCACTGAACAAGGTAGTTAGGGCGGTCGACTCGCAATCTGAGGGTCGCGGGTTCGAATCCCCATCCCACCAAATAGGCTTGCCCTTTCAGCCGTGGGGGCGTTATAATGTGACGGTTAATCCCACTATTAGTTGGTAAAAGATTAGCCCAAGAGTTGGCGGTGGGTGGTGATGACCAACTGCCTTCCCTCTAGTCTTATACTGCTAAATTATGGACAGCTAGCGCAGATAGCCTTCGTGTAGCTTTGCGCGAAATTCAAAACAAACCAAACGTACTGAACACGTTAAAAGGCACCAAAAAATTGCGGATTTCCCAAGGGCATGATGATTTTTCTCTTTTTACTATTAAAAAAAAAACTCTCAAACACACATAAAAAGTACATAAGCCATTCACCTTTAATATAGCGCGTTCACTCTCAGCAAACTTAGAATGATAATTTGTGAAATAGTTTATATTTTGTTTAATTATTTTCAACTTATTTCTAAAATCATTGAATATATAATCACAAGTCCGATGACTCACGCTAACCTTTTGTGAAACGGTATTTTACTTTATCGCAACCACAAACGGATTCAGTGATGTTCGAAGATTTGTACAAGCTGCTTTTACCGGTCATGTAACTTGAAAACAGATGTAAGTTATCCTAATTCTTAATCGTAGCATCTCCAAATTATTTTATTTCCAAGATTTTCATATAAAACGTACGTCGTATGTTAACCTTCCTGCGTCCTCCGTTGTAGTGCAGATGAACTAAGAAATACATTTGCAGATAATCAACACTTATATTCCACCCCACTTTTGCTTGGAATGGTTAAAACTAATGAAGGAACTACAGCTAAGTTGCGAGTCTGAAAATCTGGCTATTGATCACTATTTGTTTTGTATACATATACATTCATTTCTAATTCCTTGTTACTTATACTGAACAAGTACAACGATTAGTGACTTTCCCAGTTATCGACAAAATTCGTTAGAACAATTCACTGAGAAAGAGCCCAGAGTAAGTTTAGATGAAATAGATAAATACTCATTATATGCTGCCCCCCAGTAGCACAGCGGTATGTCTGCGGACTTACAACGCTAGAATCCGGGTTTCGATACCCGTGGTGGGCAGAGCACAGATAGCCCATTGTGTAGCTTTGTGCTTAATTACAAACAAACAAACATTATATGCTTTTAACCTTATTGAAAATATATATTTTATCAATATTCGTGACTTATCAAAGGAGGTTTAACGATTGAGGTTTTTAAGTAATTTTAAATCATGGATGAAAGCGATGTGCATGAATAAACAAATGGTGTTATTTTATTTCACAAAGAAATTGAGCATGTCCTTTCCATCGAAAGCTTCAATTTCACACATTTGCTAAATTTGGAAATATCACAGAGTTTTTTTTTTTTAGTCAGGGTTTGGTCATTTGGTGAGTAAGCTAGTCTAGCAACTAGCAAGTGAAACTCCCAGAGAGAAAGTTGGGACTAACTGAAACGTCGCGATGCATAAATATGTCAATCATTCATTAATTTGTTTGTTTTTGAATTTCGCGCAAAGCTAAACGAGGGCTATCTGCGCTAGCCGTCCCTAATTTAGCAGTGTAAGACTAGAGGGAAGGCAGCTAGTCATCACCACCCACCGCCAACTCTTGGGCTACTCTTTTACCAACGAATAGTAGGATTGACCGTCACATTATAACGCCCCCACGGCTGAAAGGGCAAGCATGTTTGGTGTGACAGGGATTCGAACTCGCGACCCTCAGATTGCGAGTCGAGTACATTAACCACCTGGCCATGCCGGGCCCATTCATTAATAATGACACATCTTAATAGAACAGTTAGAAATTATAAAATGGTTTAAGAACATTTTATTTTTTGTGGTTAATTATTACAACATCTAGATAAAGCACACGATTTTATATAGGGTTTAATTATTATTAATAAACTGAGCATGATTTCGCAAAATTTGAATTATAGATTGATGTGTTTCACCGCAATAATAAAATCCGTAAAAATAACAGTGATTTAATTTCACGGTGTACTGTTTTGCAATATAGTTTAGTCATACCATGATAGGATGTATAGCCATTACAAATAAGTGACTTTGATCTTGTACAGTAAAGTTGTAAAGACTTTTTATACTTAGTAATTTTATACAACGTACTTTGTTTCGTGATTCACATATTCTAAATACTTAGGTCTAGTTTTCAAACTTTATGTAGTTTATGTTTAGAATGGTGCCTTCTTTTCATAAAAACGAGGTAGCATTTTATTTATTCATGTATTTCTAATAACGCTAAAAGTAGTTACCTGTGGGTTCTTTAAATAGTTTATTTTTAAACAGTGCGTTACAACAAGAAAAGGTAGAAAATGATATGTATAAAAAAGTCAAATTTTTATCCTTGGCTTAACTAAAACAAATATTCGAACATGATATTTTGATTCACCTATAAAAAGCCCTCACACCTCAGAACTTGCTTGACGTGTAAACTACGTAGTTGACATATCATTTCCTGTCAGTGAAGGTAGGTTACGAGCTATTCATGCTTTAAGATTCCGGAACTTGTTTGTTTCTATATGTGTTGTACGCCGATTTGTCAGCGCTAAGTTTACGGACTTACAATGTTAATATCCGGGATTCGATTCCTTGCGGTGGACTGACTTCAGATAGCCCTATTGTGTAGCTTTTCGCTAAAACAAAACTTACCTGTTTTTAAATTTTAAAATTATTGCAATACTTTCAGCCTCAAAGGACATATCACAATGAGGATTATTTGAAAATTACCCTATGTTTTTTTTAGGAAAACGTATGTTGGTCTAAAAGCCTAATCCAACACATCAGAACTGTCACGATGCTGTTTTTTGTTGTTGTTGTTACTGGAATGAAAATTCTTCAATATATCTGGTTTGAGTTCATGAGTGTCAGTCGCACTGTCAAAGACTATGGGAGAAAATAAGGTCAATTCTTTATAATTTCTTTTCTACTTAATTGAGGGGCAAAAGTCCGCTTTCCGAAAACTCTCAAATTATAAGGTTTATCTTCGGAAATTACTAGTCTGGAGCTCAGTCATTCATTTGAGACAACGATAAAAAACAAAACAGATTGTCCGCGTAGAAAAGAAAGATAATATTGTTAATGTGATAAAGATTTATTTCAAGTATCTAATTTGTTCGATTAAGAGTGTATCCTACATAAAAACCAATTGTACTATATGTCCTTATAAAATTTTATTAATACATGTTATAACAAATATTATACATATCAATTTGTGAAGTAACAAAAGATTTTGAGAAGATTGTTGTTTCGTTTTTATTACTACAATTACTTCTGTTTTTATACAAATGACATTATTAATGAGAAGTTTAATTTATAAAAAGCATTAAACATTCAATAAATATTTATCTGATCACACATTTCACTTTTTTCATGCGTGTGCGGAATCAAAAATGCAGGACAGATTAAAATATCTTAAACGTATCAAGAAATAGGAAAGGCGCCCTTAAACGATGACATGGTGGAACTAACTAAGAATACCTTTTCAATGGAAGAACAAAAGTAAGAGATTTGAATTATGTAACCGCAATATATTCTACTCTTCAGAACTTAATTATGTGCCAATAAGGTAAACGCACATTACTAGTACAAAATAGAATAATAATAATAAGTTATTTAATTTATTTTATTAATAATTCCTTAAATTTCAGAATTATTCGACATAGCTTTGCAGAAAAAACGAAAAATATAAAGAATGAAAAGATGATTGCTAAATTTACAAATCTGTTTTATTTTATCAGTTAAAACTGATGATTTGTTACCTTTAATGTTTCAATATCAGGATTGTTGTGTTTGTGTATGACATCACCAAACGCAAGATGTATTATAATAGGGCAATAACTTAGAGTAATTGTCAACCGTCACAAATTTGGATCACTAGTTACATGAAACGTTTAACTAGCTTTTTTTTTTGTTATGTGAAACAATGTTTGATATGGGAAAGGATGATTCTAACTATAAATATTTATTGATGTATGCTGTGCTATAAATGAAACAAGAGAGGTATTCCCAAATAATTGCTAGCTCGGCTGATATCCGGTAGACCCCAAAGGAGTATGTGTGTTTTCTTAAAGCAAAGCCACATCTGCTCTGTCCACCGAGGGGAATCTAACCCCTGATTTTAGCATTGAAAGTTCGAAGACTTACAGCTGTACCACCGGGGGACAACCCCAAAGCGACAAGAATTGAGTACGAATTATGAATTATATTATATAACATATAATTAGAAACAATACCACAAACATACAAATTATTAACTATAAGTAGCATTTAGGAACACCCTGGTAGGAACATTATTGTATTTTATCAGAGCCTTCAGAGCAGTCAGATATTTTTGGACCACTACTAATTTTACTACTGAGACATGTCTTTTATTTTCTGATAAACTTCCTGTATACATTCAGCATCTTTCCAAACATTGGTCATACATGTAGCATAGAACTATAATTTAAATACAGGAACATTTCGACTAGCCACACCATTTTATTTTGTCCAAACATACATTGTTACTAACATTTTATTACATGCTGCTAATATAATTATATACCTATATCTAGTGTGGGCTTTCTAAAATTAAAGATTTATTTATATTCCAAACAAATATCAGTTCTATTTCATAGAAATGCTATTATTAAATAATACTTAATTTATATTCATATAGTATTTGTAGACACTGATCTGATATTGGTTTATTTTTGACAATGTACGACAAATATAAGAAGCCTTACTCATACGTTCTAATATACCACTCAAAAACATGCACGTGTTTTTGTAGTCATGTTTCAATTTGATAGCCTTTCGTCATATTAAGTAGTCATCTCTGGTATTTTTTTTATTCTCTGTTTCTTTTTACCTCGTTCCAGATCGCCAGGCTTAATCCATTTCTACTGAATTCCAATGGAGGTTTCGCAATACTTTACTAAATCAATATATATATATTTACTTGGAGGTCATGTGAAATGAAAATGGTATATTCTCGCCCCTATCTCAAATTTTAAGCAAGTCTCCCTACGTGCTAAGTCGAACTTAACATATTTCATCCCTTGCGGTTGTTATAAACTTTAACATTTAGTCAAATAAGTCTGTTGATGATATGGTATAAAACCACCCGTATTCGAAATAATTAAGGACTAGTCTTGATATACCAGGTTTCAGGATTTTACTATGCAGTACAGTGCGTTGTGGATCATAACAATCGTAATTCCGCAAAATTGTAATAAACTAATGTGATACTGTTATATATAGTATATACATTTACATTATTGATTGCAGCGGTTCCACCATCATCCAGTTGTAGGGATTGAGCAACAATACATATGGTATTATGTAATGAAAGGGAAAGTTTAACTTTATTAACATGTGTGAGCTTAATCGGCTTGAGTAAATTAAATTAATTTGTTGGACACTATCGTGAACCTTGCTGTTCAATAATATTAATCTTTTATTGTTTTAAGCGATAACTTTACATTTTACAATAACTAGATTGTAAACTTAAATTATATATTAAAGCATTTTATCGGAATTGTACAACGTGTTATGAATTTAGTTGATAAACGTATATGCATAGTTAAGGTCAGTATTCTATAATTTAATAAAAGTTCTTTATATATAGTGGTTAAATAATAAATTATTATTATTTTTCCTACATCACATATTTCTGTTGCATAGTTAATTAAAATGAGTTGATTGAAAGATAATCTGTCTGCTGGAGTAGTCTAGAATGTGTATCTCAATATAATTTTATATTATTTTCGTATTAGTACCGATATAAATGAAATTAAACATTTTTACACTCACATTTCTATTGTGATTGTCAGTTTTAAGAGTTTACGTATATGCAACAAAGATTTAGCACAGAAATTAATTCAAAAGTGTTTGTTAAGTTATATCTAAAATGTAAAAAAAGTTTAAACTAACCAACGCTACTTATCATATAGATGTCTTGAAAAAGGACGACATTCTTTTTCTGTGTTCGATGCTCGTAAAAAACAGTGAAGACAAAAATTACATGAGAGTTGTTCACTTGTGTCAAAATACATTAAAAAACTTTGATTTATAGTATTACAACGACTTCAATGAGCATTTATTGTGGAGTGGAGCGAGATTATTTTGCATTTTTAGCCTAGGATTAACATAAATCTTCCAAAGTGACTAAATCCCTTGTGGTTTTATTGGTCTTACAGCTGAAAAATATGTATATTCCCCAACCGAAGAATCAATACATTCTGATCATCGTAAGTTTTTCTTTTTTTGAGGTTTGTTTTATCACTTTACAAATAATATTTTGTTGTTGTGATTCTGGTTTAGAAGTTATTGATAACTAGTTGGAGTACCCGTCCGTTGGACGAGTGAAACAAAAACTCGTTTATAACAAAGTATTGGAAATTGTGCTTCTATTTTTTTTCCTTGTCATAATAAACATTAAAAGTGGAATAAAAATACATAAAGGTGCCAGTACTGAAAAGAAAGACATACTATTTTCAAGAATTCTATCATATGGGGGAGGGGGTTTCAAACTCTCTGATGATCTTCCCTAATATCATCCAACCCCTTTCCCCAACCCTCTTCATGACCTTTCTCATGTCATTCTGTATTATTGTGTCAAGTTTGGTGCTGGCTGATCAAGAAATGTGGAAACGTATAACGAACAGACAGACACACACATATTGACGTTTATTTATATAGATCAAAAGTTTAGGCGGAGCGGTGGATAGCTTTCTCATTATTGTAATAAAATTTGATTAGTTGTAAAAATAAGCCTGAAAATATGATCTTAGGGTGAGGAGGAAGATGTTTTCAGTATTCTCTAAGAAATATAATTAATATGCACCGAAACCAAACATTTTTAGCACGATTCCTTACCACACACTGGAGGACGTTCTTTGTCAAAATATCAGAGAAGACACTTAGTCAAGCTTTGCTCTTTTTGTCATGTGATGAGCGGAATCTTCAGACGCCCAAACTTTACCCTCGAAATTTCATTATGTCTTTTGCCATCCTATTTCGTTCCACTATTATAAAAATTTAATAGAAACATTATTATAATATTGAACTTTAGCTTTTTATCACCAAAAGCAAATAAATGTGTGCGTAGTAGGACTTAAGCCATTTACAATTTTTAACTTAATTATCCTTTCATGCATATAAAAATAAAAATTATGCCATAAAAATTACACAAATTATTATGTTACATATATTTATATTATGCAGCGATTGATATAATGCTAATTATACAAATTAGCTCTTCTTTTTTTACTTAAATAAATAAAATGTCAGTCATTTTACTTGAAATACACGAAGAATATTTGCATATCATAAAAAAAGTGGAAGATAGAAATGTAATGCTTATCGCACAGTTACATGATTTGCTGTTCCATCTGGTAATAAAACTACAAAAGAAAATTACAGAATACCATTTTATATTTGTAAATCGTTTAAAGTAGAATTAGCTTATTTATTGATTCAGTGTTCTTCCCTATGATTTCATCATCCAATTGTCATGACAACACTATATAGACCAGTTAGCAACAACGACAATCACTCTTTAAGAGATCTCCAGCTTATGCAGTGTCTAGCTCTATAAACATATTGCGTCACGACTTGACAAAGGTCAGAGAGACATAATTTATAAACTAAGTGGACATAATTCTTCTCTTTTATGCCAACATAAATTGTATTATATTATATTCTGTATGCCCTCATTACAACGCGCAAATTGGCCTCTAAATTAGTATGTATTTGCTGCTAGCTGTGAGGCCTAAAAACACAAGGTCAAAATTCGGCTGGTTTTGTGTTGTTTTTTTTCCTTTTCTAAATAAAGCCATAAAGCTGTTTTACACACGTTCCTTTAAAACTGTATTTATTGCTGTTTAATAATATAGCATTTTGAGGAAATAATACTTAAATAAGTCCGGGATCATTTCTAACTTAAAAACAGCAGCAACAACAAAATACTTCTGAGCTACAAGCTCACAACAGCTTTTCTTCGATTGAACAAAGATAAGGAGTAGTGAGGCTCTAATATGATTTCAACTGATTCTTGATTATAAGTATTCAGCTATTTTAACGTATAGCAAAATTAACGTTTTCCCTTTAAAGTGTACAATAATCAATAAATCTATAACGTGTATGTTAATTACATATTCAACAAATTCAGCAGCTAGGATTGGTTCTTGAATAAAATGATTTATTCAGTGAAATATTTCCTCCTTTTAATTTATTTCGTAAGCTTTGTTTCCACTTTCTGAGATTTCAGCAAACTAGCTTGCATGTGCGGCATACTGATAGTTTAATTCATGTCTGGGTTGCTAAGTAACAGTATCGACGTTTCTACAAGTGCAACAGTAGATCAGAGGACATGTTGGGAGAACAGGATTAAAAATTAATAAGTAGATACAAATAAGATCGTCAGAAGTGAAACGAGTACAAAGAAAGCTCACAAAAATAATTAATTGAATATTATTATTATTATTTCGGAAATTAATCATAAATGCGAGGAGGAAATGCAAGCTTTTTCTTTTACATATACATATATATACAATACTTCAAAATATGTTCCCCAAAATACTTTAGAGCACAAAGTTATCAAAATATGCCATGTTTAATGATACTTTATAAATACTATACTCAACAAGTATAAAACGACCTGTAAAACCATAGAAAGTACGTATTCTGTGATATAAATCATTCAGTTTACAAAAGTACAGTAGTGTACATTATTATGTTTCTACTTCATCATAAAACACACATACCAAACATAGACTATCTATGTGAAGGGGAAACTGGAAATGTCAGTTTTGAAATAATGGAACCCACCGTTGATAGCTTTAGACGCGATTCAGTTTAGGGTATTTTGTCACCGACTGTTAGTTTATGCAAGTAACGTCCTAGTCGTGTGATAAAGAAATTTGTTATTTGTTTTGACACTTTACAAGTTGATCTGATGCAGTGATGCAAGGCGATTGTTAAGCTGTGCTTATGTCGAAGTTATGGTTGGTTAAATTCAGATAAAAAGAAACAATGCCGCTTCCATGAAGTTTCCTTTCACATTTCCCACTAACAAGACAAAAGCTTGCTTGGATCACAATAGTAAAAATTAAATGTAATAGTTTTAATTCAGATAGCCACTCAAGATTCTGTTTCCATTTTATGGATGATTACTATTGTTATCCACTTCCCACAAACGGAAGACGGATAAAAGCAAGGTATGACCAAATAAAAGAAATTAAATCTCGTAATGGAAACTCGAATTCATTATATATTTCAATATTGGAGACATTTTGTAAAAACAACAACACAAAATACAACACCTTAATGAAGTAATTCCGTAGGCCTAAACTTAGTAAACCATGTGCCCTTCAGTAGCTCAGCGGTAAATCTGGAGGCTTAAACGCTAAAAATCGGGTTTCGATAGCAGTGGTGGGCACAGCACATTGCTTACTTTTCTGAGTCCCTCAGTTCATACTCAGTTGTAAATCGACCGCTAGTCTGAAAGAAATAGCCACTAGACAGACACTGGTATTCTTTATTCGTTAATAAGCCAAGTTTCAAAATTATAACAATATATTGAAACGTCAGAGAACAAGGTAAAAGTTCAACATTTTTCATTGAGTCATTGAAGAGTACGGGCTCGAAACCTACCACCGAACATAAACGCCCTTTCTTTTGGCCATATGGGACGTTATAATTTGATGGTCAAACTCAATATTCGATTAGAGTATCCAAAGAGAGCGTGATAGTGTTGACTACTTGCCATCCCTCTTGTCTATTGCTTCAAAATTAGGAATGGCTAGGCAGTTTGAGCTCGAGTAGCTTTGTACGAAATTCAACAAGAAGAATACAAACAAACAAACAATTGAAGAGCAAATGAGAATGTATTGTATATTTAAATTTGTGACCGGATTTAGTTCTCTATATTGTCTCAGATTTTCTTTTTTTGTATGTTTGTAATTAAGCACAAATCTGAAGCTACACAATGGGCTATCTGTGCTCTGCCCACCACGGATATTGAAACCCGAATTCTAGCGTTGTAAGTCCGCAGACATACCGCTGTGCCACTGGGGGCTTTTGTTTAGATAAATCTTTGTCAACAAATAGCTGCATTTCATCCATTAACCAAATCGTTTTATTTCAAGTGGGACTTCGTCAAGGTTTAAAAAAAAATGAAGGAAGTATAGATCCACTGTGACACCAGCAATTTTATATTTATAATGGATCTAAACTTGATTTTAGATTTGTTTTTACAGGATATTGTGCATTTACATATTATTAACAGAAGCTCTGTGTGTGTTAATTGATAGTAGTCAATCGTGTCAAAGATCGTAAACGTAGGCATAATTTAAAAAACTTTACAATGGCTCATAATATCTTGTAGAATAAAATTTTCAAATATTAATCGTATTACCATATCACGTGACCACCAAACTCGTACCGTTTGAAGCAAATAAACCTCATTCCACGAAATACTTGTTGCGAAATACAGAGTTCAATCATTTATAAATTTCTATTGACCGATTATAGCTAGGGTAATACTCTCAAGAGCTTTTTTTTTATACAAAAACATACATATTGTTACGACAGCGGAGGTCACGTGACTCTAGTAACACGTCATATTCTCGAAGCTTCGTGAATCCTCGGGAGGTTACTAAACTTCGGTATTCTTTTATATATAAGACCCGCCAAGAAGCGACGGCAACAATGTAATGCTATGAAATTGAACTGCGGACATAAAGAGAATATTGTTGAGTCGAGCACGTGAGACGTTCGTTGTGAATTATAGCGTTTGTTATAGCGCGACTGTGGAAATTAAGTGTATTGCAAAGTTGTATTCAGAGAGAAGAAACCAGTTTTATTTAAGAAAGGACTTGTATCGCTAAAGTTTTTTCGGAAAGAATTTTTACGGAAAATTACCTAATGACCAGGGACATAACAATATGTTTGTACATATTTTAGATTGTCTTATAGAAGAAAATGTTTGAATTGTGTGTTAAAATGATTGCATGAAATATGTTATGTGGTTCTCT